AATGAGAGAGTTATCAGAGTGGTGTGTTGCTTTCTTAGGTATGGCCCCCAGGGGAAGATTGTAAAATGTGACATGTGAACAAAGATTTGAAGGAGGTGAGAAGGTTACCCATGTGAATATACAGAGCAGAGGTTTCATGCTGTGAAGACACCCAGAACCAGCACTCCAAAGCAGGGATATGTCTAATATATGTGAGGAACAGCAAGGAGGCCGGAATTTGAGGCAGGATGCCAACAGGAGGCAGCAGGATTTCACATCTGAGAGTCATGCAGGCCATTGTCGGCACAGATGCAGTTCTTCTGGGTGAGGTGGGGGCCACTGAGGAGCCCTGAGCAGAAGCGTGGCGTGATCACTTGCTGGAAGGAGGCCGGGGAAAGAGCCGGCCAAGGCGAGAAACAATGGTAGCACAGCACAGCCTGGCCGCAGGGAGGGGCACGGTGTGAGCAATTAGAAATGGATGGCAAAGGGTGAGTCAACAGGATTTCCTGTTTGACCGACTGCTCAACATGAGAGTCAGAAACGACTCCTGCAAACCCACTCCTGGGCATGCATCTGGAGAAAACTAACTCGAAATGGTACATGCATCTCAGTGTTCACAGCAGCACTATTGACAACAGCCAAGACATGGAATCGACCTAAATGCCCATTGACAGATGAATGGATAATAAATATGAATGGATAATAAATAATAATAATGAATATTACTAGGCCATAAAAATGAAATAATGCCATTTGCAACACCATGGATGGACCTAGAAATTATTATACCAACTGAAGTAAGCCAGACAAAGACAAATACCACATGATACCACTTATATGTGGAATCTAAAAAAGAAATGATACAAATGAACTTATTTCCAAAATAGGGACTCACGTACACAGAAAACAAACTTACAGATACCAATGGGGAAAGATGGAGTGGAGGAGGGATAAATTGGGAGGCTGGGACTAACACATTACTTTGTATAAAACAGATAACCAACAAGGACCTACTATCTAGTAGAAGGAACTATACTCAACATTATGTAATAACTCATAATATAAAAGAATCTGAATATATATATATATACATAAACACACATATACACACTGAATTACTATACTGTATATCTGAAACTTACATGGTATTGTAAATCAACTATTAGATGTTAGTAGATATTAGTGTTAGTCATTCAGTCGTGTCTGAGTCTTTATGACCTCATGTACTGTAATCAGTCAAGCTCCTCTGTCTGTGGAATTCTCCAGGCAAGAATACTGAAGTGGGTTGTCATTTCCTTATCCAGGGGATCTTCCTGACCCAGGGACTGAACGCAGGTCTGAGTTGTCTGAGATACCAGGGAAATCAACTATACTTCAATAAAAAAACAAATAAATGTTTTTTTAAATAACATTTAGAAAAAAGAATGATTCCAAGACTTGCAATTTCAATGCTAGGAAGAAAGGTGTTAGCATCAAACTGATTTTTTTTTAATTAAGGCACTAGGTAAAATGAAAAGAAGAGAAGCTAACAGCAAAGGGGAAAAGGAAAGATATCTGAATGCAGAGTTCTAAAGAACAGCAGAAGAGCTAAGGAAGCCTTTCTCAGTGATCAACGCAAAGAAATAGAGGAAAACAATACAGTGGGAAAGACTAGGTCTCTTCAAGAAAATCAGAGATACCAAGGGAACACTTCATGCAAAGATGGCCATAATAAAGGACAGAAATGCTATGGACCTACCAGAAGCAGAAGATATTAAGAAGAGGTGGCAAGACTGCACAGTACTATACAAAAAGGATCTTCATAACCCAATAATCACGATGGTGTGATCACTCACCTAGAGCCAGACACCCTGGAATGCGAAGTCAAGTGGGCCTTAGGAAGCATCACTGTGAACAAAGCTGGTGGAGGTGATGGAATTCCAGTTGAGCTATTTCAAATCCTAAAGGATGACACTGTTAAAGTGCTGATTTAAAATCTGCATTCAGGTCAAGAAGCAATATTTAAGAACCGGACATGGAACAACAGACTGGTTCCAAATTGGGAAAGGAGTA